TCTTAAGTTTAATCAAATTGAGTGATACAAGATATTCATTGTAAAATTATTATTTGATTTTATTATTTAAATTAAATTATAAAATATTTTAATCGGATTGAGTAATACAAAATTTCAATTTAAAAATGACTATTCGAATTCCATTATAATATATTTCATTTAAAAGGTACAATTGAAAGGGAATTTAACCTATTTCGTAATAACAAAAAGAAATATGGAAAAAGGTGTATGAAACGTAGCCGTTTCAATCTAATTCAATGACGGCAGAAAACCGCAAGGAACAGCTCCAAGTCCAACTCAGGTACAAGTTTGCGGCACCCGACGAGATGTCGAACTCAGCAGCGCAAACCCTAGACGACGAATCTAGACCGTCCGATCAAAGCCCTCACAATCAGCTCCGCGAAGACCAACAGGCTCAAGAATGGGAGACCCTGGCTCGTGCCTGGGTGAGCGCATTCCCAGAAGCGAAAGCCGTAAACGTGAGCCAAGTCGAAGTCTGGATCGACTCCAACTTCGGCTCCTTACCAGCTGACCTCCAATCCATGCCACGATCTGAGCTCATCGACAGACTCCTTTCCATCCAAAATTACTTGAGATTTCCCTCCCAGTCCCAGGTGTACTTTTAGTTTCAATCCTTTTAGCATTTATTACAGTGGATTCTTTTTTGGTAACAACTATTCAGTGTTAAATATGCGGATGTGATAGCCTGGTTGCAGTATTAATTGCGTGGATATTATTTCCATATATATTAAAACTTAGCATGATCCTAGACTCGTAGTCATTGATAAAAAAGAAAAGATGAAAAAGGTAATGTTTGTCAAATAGAGAGATCAAAGCATGAGACGAGAATCAATGCATGTATGAGAAAAGAAAAGCTTGTTTTCTTTTATTTTCTTGATTTAGGGATTTATTTAAATTACTTATTACTTATTTGTATCCTGTGAGGCTGAATAAGATTGGGAAAAGGATGCAGTGAATTGAATATTGTCTTTATGGAATCCATTTTGCATTGTATGGGATTTTGTTCCTTTTATATTGGTTTATTCTGTTGATACTGAAGTTTTATGTCCTTAGTCCTAAATTCGTTTCCCTTCATCTCATCTGGCAGGAAAAAGAACCAAGTCGGCCTGATCTTCCACCGGCTCGGTTTCAGCGCACTGATCAGTGGATACCGGTCTATTCATGGTTAGAATCTTTGGATACAGATGAAGTGGTCAAATCTAAAGATATTTCAGATTGGTTAAATGAGAACCCACAAGTCAAGGACCAATTATGCTCTAGACATTCTCGGTACCATTTGATGCACTACATAAAAAAGTGCCATTTAAAGATAATAAAGAGGAGGGAAAAGAAGGTAATGGCTATTCTTCCATTTTCTTCTCACTTGCAAGTAGAAACTGTAGTTTCTGCAGTTGGCATTTGATGGATGTTTGGCCTTTTAGTGTCAGATATGCTAATGTTTAGTTGATAGAAGTGCCCTAGTAAAAATGTTTGCCTTTGATTTTAGGGTTTATATTTGATGCACTGTTAGTGTATAGATTCTATACACTATCACTTAATCATAGATTGTCACCTCAAAAATGTGTAAAGGTAAAAGTTCAAAAGTTTTTCAAACTAAATATTTTTAAAATTATAAATATTTATTTTTAGGGTTCCCAACTTTTAAATATATTTATTAACGAGGTGACAACATTTGGTTTGCTAATAATGTATAAAATCTATACACTGATAGTATATCGAATATAAATATTTTATTTTACTTATGATATTTATGGCCTTAAAGAGTAAAGACTCATTTCATATCATCGAACTTGGAAGAATAAGCTATTTCATCACCAAATGTGTTAATTTACAAATTTCTAGTGAATACTTCACTGCTTTCGTATTAATTGCTTTTTCTTGAACAGGTTGGTTTGCAGCCCTCTAATAAAGAAACTGCTTTGAAAGCTCAGAAGGATGTAGCGGCAAAACAACCTGCACCAGTGCTAAGTATGTCTAATTTTCTGTTAGTTTTTATGATTTTTAGGGTAGGTTTGGATGTTCAACACCAATGGAGTGATTCTTTGCTTTCCAGGGAGGAAAGTTGATATGAAACATAATCATTGTAGACTTGTACACCTCCATACATCCACGCACCCACCAGTCACAACTCTGTGCTAATGATGGCAATTTGCTTAAGTTGATGTCCATAAAATGAAGGAATTAATTTAACTCAAATGCTAATGCATTATAAATGTTTAACATAAGAACTAAATTTTAGTGGGATGTTCTAGTGTGCTTCAATGGCTCTATTTTGGACACCAACTTGCAACTTTAAGGTTTTTGTGGTTATCTTGTTAGTTTCCCACTGTTCACAGATTGAATTTGTCTTTCTCTGCAATGATGGGGCTTAATGGTCATGTGGATGCTTAGTTACTAAGTTATGGGGAAACTCATTTTTCTCCTCCTTGTTGCTATCTCTTTGTTCATGAAATGCACTATTTTGAAGGTTTTGTTTGCTTGTTTGTTGCTTTTACCCTTGCTTTTTACTTTGTGCTTTCTCAAATTTCCCTATAAAGTAAATTAGAACCATGTTTGATGAAAATGGGCAAACAGCTAGAAATCAATACCAGTTCAGGCTAATCTTCAGCATGTAATAGGATTTGTTTGCACTATCCATCTCATTATTATTTCTCTCTTTTCATAATGTTTCCTTCCTGTTGTTAGATATGAGAACCTTATGTCCATTTTCCTAATCCCAGAGATGTTGGGATATTGGAAATTTCCTTTTTGTTCAACAATTTTTTCCAATGCTACTTTAGTACTTGCTTTTGTTTGTTACTTCTGTGTAATTCTCTTTTTTCCATGTTATCCAGGCAATCCTTTGAACAATTTACCTAAAGATAGTGACCTCTACTTGGCAAAACGAAATGAAGCTTTACGCAAATATGAGATGTGAGTCATTTTTATTGATTTTTCCATTTTTAGTTGAATCTTATGATCTTTTTGCAATCTGTCCTATAATTGTTGCATTGAAATTTCAGCTTATTGGAGTTGGAGAAGAAGCTTTCCCCCATGTTCTCAAGGAAGAAATGAAGGGAATCTCAGAAAGTGAAATCAACCCTTTTAGAAGTAGAACTACTCCACACAGTACTGATAACTATTTCTTTTTCACTGATCTGTATCCATTTTGTAAATGACTAGGAAATGTTGATTTTCATTCATGTATTTATATGCAATTATTACAGCTCAGGAATCTTATGCAATGATCTTTGCACCACAATTGTTCAAGCTTTACTTCATTACTTGCAATGAAAGCACAATCCCTTACCCTTGCTGATCAAAATGTAGCAAAACTTACTGGTATTTTTCTAATACACTGACACGTTTGCGTCTGATTCAAGTTAACATGCATTTCGAGTGTGAATTTCTGGACAGGATGGTGTTTATTGGCTTATCATTTCTTTTTATAGAATAAGATGAGCAGTATCCGGTGAGATTCTAGGTTGCTTCACCACTCACTTTCTGAATATGAACATGGCTTGAATTGTTGTTTGTGGTAAGGTGGTGATGGTTTTCCCCTTTTCTGAACTATCCCTTCCCATCACATGATTCAATTTTAACCCGAAATTCTATAGTGAAAACTAAAATTTGCAGGAACGTTATGGGACAATCACCTCTTTTCTCTATTATTAAGTGTAAAGATTGCATGAAGAAAGCATGTTTTGATCTCAACCTACTCTCATCATACTGATCTAAGGCTAATAAACCAAAGAAACTAATGAAAGGGATAGCTTATAATGACTAATGGCGATCATTGTGGAGGCCGGCATCAACGAATCATGTGGCTTGTGAGTAGCATCTGGTTAGTTTTTCTCAGGTTTTCCCGCAATGACCAACTTGATTTAGGCCAAGGAATGAAGTCGAATTAAAATTGTTTAATTCTCCTGATAAGTTTACAGAGCACTCTGTTTAAAATTTATTTATTTGGAGTAGAAAAATGTGTTCAATTATTTTAGTATTCCCGCAGTTCATGACAGTAGTGGTCTTTTGATATTCATCTACTTTAGTCTAATCTAGATTATGTCATTTGAGTATATAGTCAGAGGTTTATACATTTTTAGTACTCCTATTTTGACCATTGGGATCCACCCCAATCTATGCATTGTCATCATCAAAATACCCAGGATTCAGTGAACGAAAAAACCAATTTCTCTTAACTACCAAAGCTTTAATGTGTTCGCACCCTTGCCTCGTTTGATTTTAGTTGCTCAGAAATTTACAAGCACAAGGTTTCTTAGCTTTTGCTACAAAAGCCCGTGATCAGTTTTCTTTGCTGTTCTCTCCCTAATTATAATCCATTTTAATGTTTTAAGGTTGCTGCTGTCCTTCTGATTTATATGCTGGAAAAAGAGAAACCAGAAATGAAAAACATAAGAAAATCAAAGCAGAGGAAAACAGTGATCACCCCTCAGCTTCTGATGTTCTTCTTGTAAGCAACTGATAGTAGCATTAGCTCAATTGTTCATGTCGGCAACTTTAGCAGAGAATATCAGTGCAATTCAGCTGAGATTAATTATTTATCATTATCGGAATATTAGCTATAAGCAAACAACTGCCGTTTTTGGTGTGCTGTTTTGTATATTGCACCATTAACAACGTGTCAAAAATGTCAAATCTCCAGCTAGCTTTGAGTGTTCTCTCGCTTTATTTTATGTTTTGGATACAAAGTAAAGCCGTAATATTGAATTCCTTGTTCTTAACAAAAAGGGAGGCAGTAATCCGATCAACTTTTCCAAAGTTCTCAAAGAAATAATGCCGGATAATTGGACTAAAGTAAGACTTATGTGATGTAACATTCATATTAAAAATTGTTATAGTTGACCGGAGAAAGGAGAGAGAAGCTTCAATGACCGGCTTATCTTTCACATGAACCACATTTTCTGTGTTCACACCCAAGGACGTTGAATTTTAAGTAGATGATCTGGACTTCAGACCGTTGTGGTCACTTCCATAGATAGCATAGTAAATGGAGAGGTTCCCATCTATGGAGTGTGTTCTCATATTGTTGTCTTTATTGCAGTGTTTGAGATTTGGTCCTGCTGCGGTAGCTAATGCTGGGAATGGCGATGGCGTGCAGCCATTGTCCAAGATTGCCATACACAAGGCAGTCTATGCACTTCATGGAAATGCTTCTGTCAGAGCAAACCCAATTGTTCTTGGGACAAAGGTGAAATCTAAGTCGTTCTTGTACACGTTTCGCTGTTAATCTCAATCTATTAGGTCTTTGGAGTTTGAATTTGCTTTCATTAAGATTCAATGGTAGCTGGGTCAACTTGTTTACAAGAGATGTTGAAGAACTTGTTAGTTCTTTTATCGTAAATTATTTGTTCTTGTCTGTCATTCTTTTTGTCAAACAGGCTATTTTGATATACATTTCTTTGTTTTATTTTGTCTTTGATGTTATGTAACTGCACTGATTATTGCTGACTCAGTGAGTCGTTTTTTTTTTAGCCTTTCTGTAATCAGACATCTTTAATCCAATTCAGACATTGATGGAAATCAAATCTTCTTCTCCCCTTACCCTCCATGAATATAAGTTCCACTTGGAACGGTTTGAAGTCTAAACCTAAGACTACCATAGAATCACAGCACCTTTTCCCTAACAGTTAGATCAGCACACCCTCCCTTATAAACTCAATGCAAGAATTTCTGATGTTTAGATTTGTGATAAGTGGAGTCAAGGTATAGGCTTTTTGTCATTTTCCCATTCCCTCCTGTACACCAAGATGCATGTTTGAACAAGTTTCTCAAAAACTGAAGCATGGTGTTTTAAGAGGCTGAGATACAAAGATTGCTTATAACTGCCTGTGTTTGTATGCAGGGGGGAGATTCTGATTGGGTAACTGTGGAAGTTGAATGCCCTAAACCTTCTGATGATGATTGGATTGCAGTTTTTTCTCCTGCAAACTTCAAGTAATTTTCAACTTGGTGCATCATATTCTTTCTTTTGAAAGGGGTGGCAGGGGTGGGGGAGGTGTATTGAGTGTGATGTAGGAGAAAGTATTCTCTCAACTTGCAATTTTATTTTATTTTTTGCTGAAATGAAAGTTGATAGGCAATTTTTGAATAATTATCTGATGACTGCATATACGAGATTTTCTTTTCTTCCTCTGTAAATCCTAGCTTGTAGATTAAGGAATCCATTTGTTGTAATGGCAGCTCGTCTACCTGTCCACCTAGTGGGGACATGGAAGAGTCTCCACATGTATGCTCAGCCCCAATAAAGGTATCTATTACTGCTAGGTAGCGCTCTCTGATCTTAGGCTAATATTGAGATTGTGTGCCCTTACACAATGTGTTTTTCGTTTCTAGTACAAATATGCTAATGATTCCAACGCTGAATACAACAAGACTGGCAGAGCTTCTTTGAAGTTTCAGTTGATCAATCAGCGGGAAGATTTTTCTTTTGCATTATTTTCGGGCGGGTTATCAGACGTATGTACTATTTTCTTTCCTTTATCCCGTTTTGTTGCTTTTCATATATTATGCACTTGCATATTTCAACCCTGTCCTTGATTGATAATTGGTTGCAGCCAAAACTGGTGGCAGTTTCAAATGTCATAAGTTTTGCTAACCCAAAGGCACCCCTTTATCCACGTCTTTCTCAAGGGAAGTCTTGGAATGAAGTAAGTTTGTCTCTTTCTCAAATAAATGTCATATCTTTGGATTTTGATTGCAAGCCAAAGCCTATCCATGTCCTAGAGTCTGCATTGACTGATCACCATTTAGCTACGAGGCTTTCCAAAATAGATATTTGGTTTTTCCTTGCACTTGCTCCTGGTTTCTGATTTTGAACATCTCCTAGATTTACCACACTTGTAATTTCCGTGTAACAGAGTAATTCTACTTATAGTTTCCTTTGCTGGGTGTGTAATTTCTGTTTACCTGATTCTCTTAAACGTTTACACAGATGACAGTGACCTGGACAAGTGGCTATAACATTATTGAAGCTGTACCTTTTGTTGAGTGGGGTCTCAAAGGAGAATCTCAAACCCGGTCACCAGCTGGAACACTGACATTCCATCAGAACAGCATGTGTGGTATGGTCCATCTTTTCATTTGACCATAAAAGTGTTGTCCATTTTAACTTATCTACATGCCAGAGAAAGCAAAAGTTCTTTTGTTATGCCTCAATATTTTATTTTAAATGATCTTCCTGGTCAAATAGTATTATCTTTTTGTGTTCACCAGCCAAAACTGCAAGGTCCTCACCTCATCTTGCCAAAAATCTTGGCACGCTATAATGTTGGGAAAGAGGAGTTTTTGACTGAATGTGACAAGTTAAAAATTTTGCAGACTTCTTGAGAGAACTCATAAGGAGCGAAAGAGAAACTATCAAATATTTCAATGAAATTGACTGAAGCTTCTGTTTAGTTTATATTCTTAGTTGCAAATGCTTCACACGAGATTTGGAAGATTCAGATTGAAAACAATGGCTCTAACAACATTTTGATGACAAAATGCAGGTCCACCAGCCCGAACAGTTGGTTGGCGTGATCCTGGTTTTATCCATACCAGTTTCTTAAAGGATTTGTGGCCGAACTCAGTGTATGCAACACAAATGACATTTTGTTTCATAGAAACAATGAGGATATAATGAATAATGAGTTCCTAAGCTGTGATTGTTATTGTGTTCAGGTACACTTACAAGCTTGGTCATAAGTTACTAAATGGTTCTTATGTGTGGAGCAAGAGCTACTCTTTCAAGTCATCACCTTATCCAGGGCAGGACTCATTGCAGCGAGTTGTAATATTTGGAGACATGGGAAAGGTACTGAATGCAGCATGCCTTCACAGATATTCTCTGTTGCATTTCATTTTCCATTGAATAATACCATTTGATGAGTCTTATGGTGCAAATTGCAAGTGCTGGACAGAAAAGAGAGAAACATGTTTGATTCCTGACTTTTACTGTTTTCCTGCCGCATCTAGTTTATTTATTAAGCATGCATTCATGGCTCTTGGTCTTTGATTTGCCTCTCGTTTCAGAACTATATTGTGGGAAAGGGTTATGCACCTAGGAGCATCTTTGTTCTGATGCTCCATTACGACTAATATAGGAAAAAGGGGGGAAATTTTTAACATTTATATCTCAAAATAGTTATTTCTATTCGATTTCAGACCATGATACTGATATAACAGTTACAAGCTTTAAAGAGTTAACCATCGTGCCATTTGCCTAGCATCGGGCAAGTAGTGCTAAATGCTTTCCCCCAATCAGCTGCTCTGCATATACGTCTCACCAAACCATCTGCAACTTTTAGTTCTTGCTTCCTGGCATTCCCTATTATTATTATTATCATCAACATCATCAGTGAACCATTAAATCTAGGAAACACAAATAATCTGCAGTTTGATAGTGTTGCATGTTCCTTGACACTTAATTGCTGCATAGTGCATAATAGGAATATGAAGAGATTTATAATTGTTTCAACATGTTTCAGGCAGAGCGAGATGGTTCAAATGAGTACAGTAATTATCAGCCAGGCTCACTTAACACCACAGATCAACTAATCAAGGACTTGAAAAATATTGACATAGTCTTTCATATAGGAGATATTACATATTCAAATGGATACATATCACAGTGGGACCAGTTCACATCACAGGTGGAGCCCATTGCATCGACTGTGCCATATATGATTGCAAGGTTTGCAACTTTGTATGCTTAGCGCATGCGCTCTCTGTAAGACATGAAATAACTTTAAACGGTATAAGCAAATTGCTACTTTGGATCTAACTAAGATTGCTTCCTTCAATATAGTGGCAATCATGAACGCGACGCACCCAACTCAGGGTCCTTCTACGATGGGAATGATTCTGGTGGTGAATGTGGTGTGGTAGCTGAGACCATGTTTTATGTTCCTGCTGAGAACAGAGCTAAGTTTTGGTAAGTAACATGTGTTCTTATCAAGAAAATATAAGAACGTTGCAATAATTATGAACAGTTACTGATGAAAGCTAAGTTCTTATGCAACATGCAACATTCAAAATATGCATGTCATTGCCCAAAAAACAAACAAAATTCCTTAAAGTCAGACTTCTTGTCCTTTACAGGTATTCAACGGACTATGGCATGTTCCACTTCTGTATAGCTGACAGTGAACATGATTGGAGGGAGGGCTCTGAGCAGTACAAGTTCATCGAGAAGTGCCTAGCATCAGCAGACCGGCAGAAGCAGCCCTGGTTGATCTTCGTTGCTCATCGTGTTCTTGGTTATTCCTCTAGCTATTGGCGGAGTGGCTCATTCGGGGAGCCTATGGGAAGAGAAAGCTTGCAGGGGCTTTGGCAGAAGTACAAAGTGGATATTGCGTTTTTTGGACATATCCATAACTATGAACGAACGTGCCCAGTTTACCAGGTATGGCTGAAAATTATCAGTAGGCCATTTATTGAAACTTATATGGCTGGTTCGTTGTACATGCTTCAAAGGATATGCACACAATCTTCACAGCCCATATATTTTTCGAGAGTCAAGGCTCAGTTGTAGAAGTCACCTGCTATAACCTGATTCATATCGTTCTAATATTGCTTTTACTGTTTTATGGTAAATGCTGCAGGATCAGTGCGTGAATACGGAAAAATCTCACTATTCAGGCGCTGTAAATGGGACAATTCACATCGTCGTTGGTGGGGGCGGCAGCCATTTATCAGGTTTTGGTCCTATCCAGACCTCTTGGAGTCTCTACAAAGATTCAGATTTTGGTTTCGTAAAGCTGACAGCATTCAACCACTCATCTCTCCTCCTTGAGTACAAGAAGAGCAGTGATGGCAAGGTCTATGATTCATTCACCATTTCCAGGGAGTACCGAGATGTCTTAGCCTGTGTACATGATGGCTGCGAACCAACCACTTTGGGTTCTTGAAAACCGTTATCCCACTATTATCTTCTTTGATTACAGCAAACAATTGCCATAACTGGTTTCAATAATTGATATATATATATATATATATATATATATATAGACACACACACACACTACTATTTTTCTTGTTTAGCTAAAATGGTCGGTCCCTTGGGTTTCTCGTGGCATTATTGTACGCAAGAGGTCAACTTTGAATCCAGTCGATCTCTTGGCAAAAAATGGTTCAAGCAGACATTGCACCACCAACTAGATTATATATTTTATAAATAAATCATAATAACAATTTTTATTTTATTCTCTTCTATTAATCATATTAAATAATTATATTTTTATTTATTTTTATTTTATTTTATTTCATGAATCAAATATATCATGAAAATATTACATAAAAGGTCAATACACATCAAATACAAATCTAAACTCTTTTAAATTCTATACAATCTTTGTCACTTGATTACAATCAACTTGACTAAAATTTTCAAATTTAAAATTATAATATCATAATATTCTGTTATATGAAAAAGATAACGGGGAGGAAAATCAGATTATATACATTTTTAATATAATTATTATTATTTATAATTAAAAGGAAAAAAAATTAAATTTTATTTTTTAAATAAAAAATTATATATTAATTAATAAATTAAATATTCGAATGTTTAATATATTAACTGTTAGAATCATCTTAAAATAAAATAAAATAAAAAACAATAAAATGAAGTGCCTTGTTGACCACATGAACAATAAGAAGAACCGTAGAAAATCAATGTTGGAGCCAATCAGATGATTCACGTGCTGTTTAATAACTTCTCAGGAAAAACCAAAAAGCTCAAAAGAGAAAAGCAGAGATCCCTTCCTACTTTGTTGCAATCGTAGTTGGTTACTGACTTACTTCTCTTTGCTTGCCTTCTCTCTTTCAAACACTTTCAAAACCTTTAAAATAAGTCAAACGAGAATAATTCTGGGGACCCTTCTGAGAGTCTTTCTTTTTTCCCTTTTCTTTTGCCTTTTTATGAATTGAGAAAAGAAAAAGAGTTTTGATTGCCTGAAAATGATATGGTTTTGGGTGTTTCTTTTACTGGCTGCAAACTTAAACTTGGGTTGGGCTCACATCAATGGAGCAGGAGAACATCCGCTGGCTAAAATCAATATCCTCAAAGCTACTCTTGCCTTTCATAACTCAGCTACCATTACAGCTAAACCAGTTCTTCTTGGTTTAAAGGTACAATCTGTTTTATGCTTCTACTCTCTTCCTTTTTGATTCACTTATCAGCTTTTGAGAAGTTCCTTTTTTTTCAAATAAATAAATGAATAAAATTGGGTTTTCAAGTTACAAAGAACTTCCAAGTTGACTTCATTGTGACTGCTTGATGATCAATAGAAATGTTTTTGGAATGCGGCATGTCACGTCATGTTTGAGGAGACGATCAATAGAAAAGTGGGTAGCTCTAAGTTGTTAAATTTATGATAAGAATGTTATGTTTCTAGTTACTGTAAGTCTTGACCAAAGAATTGGATTTGTACGATATTTGAAGTAATGAGTCCTTGATAGTTTGACACTTTTACTGAGTTTGCCTGAGTTTAGGAGCGTAGATTTGATATGTGTTTTTCATTTGCATGATCACAGGGCGAGGACACTCAATGGGTAACTGTGGATTTTACGAATCCGAATTCATCTGTGGATGATTGGGTTGGAGTCTTTTCTCCAGCAAAATTCAAGTAATGTCCATCTTTCACAATTTCAACTGCAACTCATTAATTGTGCTTGTTATCACGGAGGTTTCTATGGAAACTCATTTCATGAACACACCAAAATTTCTTAATTACAGTAGTTAATAGGATTCTATCCGTTCCACCCTGTGATAACTTCACTAGGGAATTTTGCATTGTTTGAGAAATTAGATACACTTTGTGATGTTATGGCAGCCCATCAACCTGTCCACCGGTGAATGATCCAAAAGAACAGCTTCCATATATCTGTTCAGCTCCTATAAAGGTGTGTGTGGTGTAACTTAATAAGGAGACTTTAGTATTTACAATTCTATGGTTTGAAAACTCATGCAATCTTCACACTTTTTCTATGTTTGTTCCAGTACAAATATGCAAATGAGTCCAGCTTAGGTTATACAAAAACAGGCAGAGGTTCTCTGAGGTTCCAGCTTATAAATCAGCGAGCAGATTTCTCCTTTGCGTTATTTTCAGGTGGATTATCAGATGTAAGTTCATGACTCTTGTCCCTCCAGTTTATGTTTTGTTTTTTTTTATTTTAAATTCACCATAGACCTTTGCAAAACATATTTACACATCGCCTTGATTCATCTCAGTGCCTCTTTATTATCTTAATTGGTTATCTTCTATAAATGTTGATGAAAATTTTGTTGACTGACTTCACATTTCAACATTACAGCCAAAATTGGTGGCCATATCAAATTTCATATCGTTTGCAAATCCTAAAGCACCCTTGTATCCACGCCTCGCTCAAGGGAAATCTTGGAATGAAGTAAGTTCTAATTAATGTCTCCTATATAATTTTCCCCCAAAAATTAGAATGCTACGATTCCTTTATTAACTATTGCCTTGTTTTCTTAGCTGGGGAAATATTTCATTTATCTGCCCAAAAGAAAGCAATTATATTTAGTTAATTAGATTTCTGCATTAGCTTATCCAGCAAGTGTATCATCCATGACAAGTTGATGAAATTCTGTAAAGCTGTGAAAGCTAAGGGATATAGTACCCTCTTTATACACTAATATGATAACTGTGGTTCTTTTGTGCATCATAGTCTTTCTCTAAGATGCCATGTCGAAAGTTCCTGAATGAATTCATATCTCTGCCTATCTGAAGGTTCTCTGGTGTGGCAAACATATTATGATTGTGAATTAATTTGTGTTAAATTATAAACATTGTTTGGTCTGCTATGTTGTTCTTTTTATCTAGTATTCAGGCAATATTTGATTTGTTGCACAGATGACTGTAACCTGGACAAGTGGCTATGACATAGACGAAGCTGAGCCATTTGTTGAATGGGGTAGAAAGGGAAATTTGCAACTCCGATCTTCAGCAGGAACTTTGACGTTTAAACAGAACAGCATGTGTGGTATGGATGGATTTACTTATGATGTGACTTTGATGCTTGAATACATGTTAGAATATTGCTCTGCTTGTGTATATACATGCTTGATATGGATTTTTCATTTTCCAAGAAAAAATTACGAATATGTCAACCATAATTCCTCCATTGTCAATCAAAACTCTTCCTGTTTAGTTCAAAGTAGTGGCTATTAATGATCAACAGCATTCTAGAACTGCACTTGCTTGATTTATGATTGAGTTATTTTAGTACTAATTTTGTAAATTTGAGGTTTTGAATCATGATGTCTCCTACTTGATTACTTCTAGTTATCTGCAAGAACAAGTTTCTTAGATACTTATTTCGTGAAGGATTATAAGACTAAGAAGAGTGCATTTCATCCTTGGCATTTTATATCCTGCACTATATGGGAGCATATGAGTGGATGCTTTATTATCTTTCTGTGTCATGACTTTGCAGGTGACGAACTCATAACAGTCAAGTTGCTATCGTTTTTGTTGAACTTGACAAGGATTTTATTTCCTTGACTCAACCATAAACAAAAGAAGTATATTACCTGAAAAATATTTTTAGTTTTTACAATGTTCAATGGAATGGGTAGGTAGGCCTATAACATCATGCAATTACCTAATTGATGTGCAGGTTCACCTGCAAGAACAGTTGGCTGGCGTGATCCAGGTTTCATACATACAAGTTTCTTGAAAAATTTGTGGCCAAACTACGAGTAAGCATCCTAAATATCCCTTTTAGCTAGATGACGATTTGAAAGTTAAAATGATCCCACTTACAAGGTTGCAAATGATGGTGTTCCAGATATGCATACAGGATGGGTCACCTCTTATCTAATGGTTCAATTGTCTGGAGCAAGATATATTCATTTAAATCATCCCCATATCCTGGACAAGACTCTTTACAAAGGCTCATTATATTTGGCGACATGGGTAAGGTAATATAGACAAACCAATAATGAGTTTGAGAATGGGCAGTCGGGTTTGTCAATGGATGGGAAATGCAAAGAGATTGGCCAATCCATGCATTTTGTCTGGTTCTCGCAAATTTTGATTTTCTATGCACTGACAACTATTTTCTATGCACTATTTGGCAAAATGGTGCATTGTGGTCTTCCTATTAGTTTAATCTTTAACATGCTGCTGAAAACTGCATTAACATTTAACAACCCTTTTTTTTTTACATTTAACTTGCAATAGGAGATAGGATAAAGCACCTAGGCAAATTCTTGCTCAAAAGACAATAGGTGCTTAGAACCACTATTGGGGATTCAATGCCAGATGCAAGCTGTTTCCTAGTTCCCCTTTAGTTATTACTATTATTTGAAAATTTAGTTATTATTATTATTATTATTAATTGCTGTTGTCTTAGGACAAGAAATTGTTTACATGATTTGATGAGATTTTCTAACACCTGACAGGCAGAACGTGATGGTTCAAATGAGTATAGTAATTATCAGCCTGGTTCACTCAATACTACAGACCAACTCATCAGGGACTTAAGCAACATCGACATAGTTTTCCACATAGGAGACTTATCATATTCAAATGGGTACATTTCACAGTGGGACCAATTCACAGCACAGGTGGAGCCTATAGCATCAACTGTTCCATACATGATTGCAAGGTGTCTGTCCTTTCTTGTGCAGCTTTGTGTATATTTCAGGACTTACTTCTCTGTTTGAATCTGGCCAGAAAAGATGTTGTTTGAAACGTATTGTGTCATTTGTGCTGCAGTGGTAATCATGAACGTGATTGGCCAAACACAGGATCATTTTATGATACTACAGATTCAGGTGGTGAATGTGGTGTGCCAGCAGAAACCATGTTTTATTTTCCTGCTGAGAACAGGGCAAAGTTCTGGTAATTTAGTAAAACTCTTCTGCAACTAAATCTTACCTCTTTTCTCTTTTTGGCCAAAACAAGTCTCGGGTAAGATTTAAGATTCTTAGCTGATGAAGTGTTCAGCATTGGCAACTAATTAGCAAGTGTAATTTATAAGGTAATGCTGAAATTTTGAAATTATATTTATGTAAGAAAAAAAGATAAGGGAATAAAATATATAAAAGAAAGGAGCAGTTTAGATGCATGCCTAGACTGTTGAGAGAGCATCCTTGAAACTAGTAAAACTCAAT